TGTTGTTTTTTCTCCCGCTTCTCTTTGTTCACAGTTACATTATTATTGCACAGGTTCATTTGTGGCAGTACACACACACACACACACACACGAAACCAATTGAAATATCTCACTTAATCTTCACACTACAATGGGTAATTTGGTTGCATTAGGTCTAAATGAAAATTTATTGCTTCAATCCGAACGCTTGACGAGATCGAAATGCACATTACATAAAAGAACCGACACCGAACGAGCCAACAGTGCCCGAGCCGACACCGAAACTAAACTGCGTACGAAACGTGGTTTTTGTCATTGTCACGAATTCATTAACCCGAAATAAATTAACGAGTAATGAATAAAAAAAAGAGCCGAGAGAAATATTTATAAACCGTTTGCCAACGACATATGGTTGTTTGTGTGCACGCGCAAAATAAAACAACAACACCACATCAAAATGCAAATGGTTCAATTTTATGCCGTTTTTTTTCTTTCTTCTTTCGTTCGTGTGTGCAAATTCGAACAGTCAACGGGCTCAATTCAATACGGTACAATTTAAACCGTGCACAAACAATATCAAATCAAACTGCACATGCAACGTTCTTTACGAGGGATTTATTGTGTCTGCTCTTTGATGGATTATTTCTGTATCTTGTATCGCATTCAAGTTCTTTTTGGTTTGTCGAGGGAAAAAACGACGTGAACAAATCGAATTGCTGTCTCGGTGCCAAGAAATTACTGAAATGACATACTGTGTTTTTTTTCCTTCATTCATTTCGGCAGAATCCCAAATATAAACATTTATCTTGTGCGAGACAGAGAATGGATAGAGAGTGAGAATGAGAGAGAAAGAGAGAGAATGGCGCAGAGTTTCTTGTATCCAACCGGAGATGATAAATCATCTGCATTATCTCGCATGCGATATGACATCGTTCCAGATTCATTCACAAAATTACCTTCATTATTCATTTATCAGGATTGAAAAATCAATAGACTCTCTCTCTCTCTCTCTCTCTCTCTCTCTCTCTCTCTCTCTCTCTCTCTCTCTCTTTCTCTCTCTCTCTGCGAACAAGCAATGGATGTCTGACATGACCATTAGCTAAATTCATACACTTTTTGCATATCGTTGAGTGTCGGTTTGTACAACGCGTCAATCATTAACTGCTAATTTCTTACTTGTGAAGTTGAAATCGAAACTTTACCTCAGGCCATTTAAATATTGGCCACTCGACTGAACAAAAAATTAGCATAATTTGCAGTCTTTTGATTGTTTTTGTTCTATTATTTTTTCCTTTGCGTTGAATATGACGTGAGTATATGACGAAATGTGAACCATTTTATCATGCAATGATGCAATTTTTCAACTCAATATTTTTTGCCTTTGCCCGATATATTTTTTGCTTGATACTTTTTTTGCCATTTTTTCCGGACAGATTTTTTTCATAACTCATTTTCATCAAATATTTATAAATATTCCACGTTCGGTTAACCGAAGACAATTGTTTTATGTTTTATTTCAAGAGAAAATTTGTTCTACTGATAGTTTTTAGAGAGCTTGTTCAACGAGCGCATATCAATGGAGTAAATTAAAACCAGAGAATGATATGATGTGAATAGAAAACCAAAGGGACGAAACAGTCGAAAAGTGTCGATTTCGTGAAACACAACCACAACCGCAACACAAAGACATCACAAGCAATGTTTAAAGTTATGCTCATACACACACATGCACGCATACCATCAAACAAGTCCATCGAAATGACGGCTGTATCGTCGTAATAATTGAGTGTTTTGTATTCGATTGTTGATTACCATGTTCATGCTGTACGGTCGCCGTCGTTACCACAATGTGAGACAGAGTGAAAACGAAGTAGACAGAAAGAAAACGCTCTGTGTTTTATTTCATTCAGCGTTCGGCGGTTTATATTGTTTTCGATTCTACTGTGTCGTATTTTTGTCTTGTCTCTTTTGCTTGGCTGTATTGTGTGTGTGTTTTAGTTTTCGCTTGTAATTTCAGAGTACGTGCGATTAAGGTTTTCATAGCGAATGCATTCATTTGCGCGACGACTGTGTCGAATACGGTCAACAGTGAACGCACTCACACGCACAAACTGTTCCGCATACAGACATACACTTACACTCCAACCGTGTGTATCAATGCTCCCTTCAGGTAAAACAGAACACAAACGACGTCTTTTCGACTGAAACACAGACTGTCGATGTAAAATGAGCTCGTTAAAAAATTGGCTTCTCATCGAGTAGTTTTTTTTTGTTTTCATTTTTTCTTCTATCTCCTCTTTGAACTCCAGTCTAATGGATGATTTTAAATGAAAATCTGTCGATAATTTCCATATTATGGACGATGAATAAGAAAACGAGAAACAAAAACATCGAAGCGACAGAAACCGATAAACCGAACACTCGAAAGTCATAAAAAGATAAACAACAATTGAGTTTATTTGATGGGTAAAGTGTTGTGACACGACATTCGGTCGTTGTATGCCAGTGTGTGCTCAATTTGACAAAAACGATGATTGTCATCGCATAAGAGTTTGTCAGCCGTAGAACTTTTACTTTATTAATAATAATCTGTATGCATCGCTTAATTCGATATATACCGTTTCGATGAACGTCCACAGTAAAATGCGATTGAAGAATCATGGCGCTGTTTGGGCGCTGCATAGACGCCTTTTGATACACATAAATATAAACAAATGCTAGCAACGGAAGGTGTGTGTGCGTTGCCGTTGTTGTTGTTGTTAATATGACGGCACTTCTACGCAACTCACTCACAAAAATCCATCCCCCATCTTTAAATATACTATTCATGTTAATAATAGATTGCGTGTGTTTGCTTTCCTTCAATCCTTGTGCATTTGACGGTAAAATAAAATGCTGCGAGTCAGACATATAAGACAAAGCGAGCATAATGGATATTTATGAAGAAGGAATAAAAAAAACACAAACAGGTAGAAAAGATGTGCCATTGTCCATGAGTGTGAACGCAGTACGGATCCATTTCAAATAGACACATAGAACAACTTGCTGCTCGTTCTATTTCTCTCGGTTCAAGGTAGTGCACAACAGGAAAAAAAACATCCTTCAACGTTAGAAGGGAACAAAAACAAAGTAAAACCATAAAAAGAGCATAGTCTTTCGTCGAAGCTCAGGCTCCGAAAGCAAAGTGTTGCACTTGCTTTGTTACGTGTGTTGTGTCGGATCTTTTAGAAGTTTTATGCTGTGCATTTGGATGTTATGTTGCAATGGAATATTGCATTCGACGAAGAAATTGCCGTTTTTGGTGTGCAAATAACAGAAAAAAAGAACGACGAAACATGTCGAGTGTGCATTCTGGCTGTTATTTTGCAATAAAAATGAAATCAGGTAAGCAACGACGTGTAGTTTGGCAACAGCGACCAATAAAAGGAATGCACCGACCACAGCAGCACTTGATCACCCAAATTCATATGTTAAAAAAAAGCGACTTTTTCTCGCTGTCTCACAGCATGACGTATCTCTTTTTTGCACGTTCGTCGCTCAACTGGTTTTCTAACTGTTGCAAAAAGAGATCGAAAGCCAAAAACATGGGCCTGTGTCTATCGATCGATACACACGTCTTGGGTTTTTTTTCGTACCGTTCGACTGATATTTGCAGTTCGTTTGACAACAGCAAGATATCGCATCGAATTGATTCCGGTGTGTACGAAGTCGAACGAGATTTTCTCGTTTTCCAACTTCGAACTCTCGCACGCATTCACAGGTAGCAGCCGCAGCACGAGAGAAAGAAAATGACAGCGCAATGTAGAAAAAAATCCGCAAAATTTTTGAGCTGTGTGTGTGCCGTGTGATTATTTAAATCACACATTGTTTGCAATCGCATTTCTCTCTTAAAATTTTCCTCTTCTCCCCAACAAACGCATTTCTCTCCTAGCTAATCGCATTAATTCCTTTTAATTCACCGACTATTTCAGTTTTTATTGCCATTTCTTTTTATTTCACCCATTTTATATCCAGTTTTTTAAATCTTTCTTTACCTTGTGTTGTGATTTTGTGTTTCGTTGGTTGCTCACTTTTTTAGCTTCTTGCAATTCAATTCACTATTCTTGCACAGCAAAAACAAAACAACATTGATTTTTTTTGTTCTCCCTCACACTGTGCTGGCTGATGTCGCCTAGCTTTTTTTTTCGTTAGCTTCAAGTTTGATACACACTAGCTTTTTATCTTTATGATACCATTTGGAGTGGTTCGTTTTTGTTGCAATTTTTTTCTTCTTTTCTTTCGTTTTAACTTAAAATCCAAACTATTTGTCAATCCAATTGAATATACGTGCACAATTTTACGATGAATGTTCAACACAAAAGTTTTAATCGAATTTCAAAAATAAATAAATCAACAGAAGTATTAACAGAAAAAAAATTATATCGAATGATAACATGGGACAACACGTCCGAACCGACGAACGTTGTAAGACAACTGAAGACTGTTTCGCTTTATGTTGATACGGGGAATCAAGAGACGAAACGCTTTTTTCGGTCCGTCTCTCACTTGACAACTACGAAGAGGTCGCCACATGCAAACGCAACGTCAAACTAAACAACAAACATGGCAGTTCGACATACAGTAGATGTTTTGTTGTTATAGGCCTTTCCCAATCAAAATCAGCCCGTTGTGAATGCCCTTTTTTCTCGCTCAATAAAATTTGGTTCGTTTTCAATGAAAAACATAATCTTTTATTTTTATCAGAAGGTCATTTAATTGATGAGATTTTTTTTGTGTGATTTTTTTCTCTTCACAGCGTATAAAAATATTTGGAATTGTATTTGGTAACAAAAAAAAACACTTGAATCACTTTAACCAATTGTCATTCCCAGTCTAAACTCATTTCTCCTCTTAAAGTAGCAGTATTAGGTACAATTTCGCGGTAGAGATTCTTCTTTCGAAGCGAGTTGAATTATAATTCATTATTAATTAATGAAATTTCAATCCAAATGTGGTATGATTGACTCCCAAATCACACTCACATTTATGTGCCAGGCAAAGTGATGTACATGCGGGAAGGTGAGCACTTGCAATCGCCCTTCTTTGAACAGTGTCTTCAATCCGATATCGTCATTTGTGTAGATTTTTCGACGATAAAATGGTATCACTTCTCCTTCTTCGTCGAAATAACCAAAGTGACTGAAAAGAGAACCGAAAGCATATTTTCATTAAATGAATGAAAACGTGTAGAAAATTAAAGTTATAAAAAAAATATTGCTCAAACCTAGATTGCCATGGCGTAATAACACCATCGTCTGGTCCTCCAATCAAAATCATTTGGTCGACTTTCAGGAGATTTTCTCGGAAGCGAGACGAATTATATGACTTGATTTCATTGTTAACGTATGGCAAAAATGAGCTAAAATTATAGTAGAGAGACTGTTGATGCGGGTCATTCCAGTAGTTTCCGACGGACGTGTGTTGTCCAACATAGGAGTAAAATAGATTATAAGCGGTTTTGGCTGCCAAATCGGGGAATATCAAATGTAAGAATGCGGCTGTAACGAATAGGCCAAATCTATGATTAATAACTTAGTCTTCGAGTGTGGGAATTCATTTCGATGTAATAAAAATGAAAGTTGCACTCACTTCCAAATTGGCCTGCTTGCGGTGAGCTCAAGGAGATAAAGTTTTTAACATTATGTTCTCCATACACTTCTAGTATAGCCCGTGCCAAAAGACCACCCTGTGAATATCCCAATAGATGAACACCTTCTGGATGCCGCTGACAGATTTCCATCAAATCGTTTCCTAATACTTCAACCTGATGCCAAGCATTTTCTAAACTCGACCAACCAGAATATCTATCCGTATTGTAGACAATCGTCCCTGGATGGGCCTACAACAAACAAAATATGTTATTCTAAATCAGTTCATTAGTTCATTCAACGAAAACAATCCAATGAAATTAGAAAGTTTCAACTCGCTTATCTATTCAATTCGCATATATCCTTGACTTACTTTCTTAATTTCCTGTTGAATCAAATTCATACTCGGCGCTCCCGTCATAATTCCGTGAACTAAAACCACCTAAAGAACAAAACGCCATTATTTTCAATGAAACATTTCGCAACAAATGGAAAGTTCTTTGTTTGTCTGACTCACTGGTTTGTATGCTTGAACTGCATTGTAATCGCGTGTGATGAGTATTGAAAAGGTCAAAAACAAAAATCTTAACATTTTTACTGGGCCACTGTCACAATAATTTCGTATTTAAAAAAAAATTATCACTTGGTACGTTATGAGTCAGAAGAGTCCCCTATTGCGAACCAATTTTTTTTGCGTTTTATCAATTGTAAACGCAAAATTGAATTAAATTTAATACAATCGAGCACTCTCACCAAATGAGTGTGAAATATTCCTTTTTGTTGTTTGTTTTGAAGTGAATACATTCTGACGCAAAGCCCAAATACATATGCGATTCGCACATTCACAGATGTCAACGCACATATGTTATTTTCCATGCATCTTTCCAATGGGTCCGTTTACATGGCTCTCAAAACTGGAAAGCAACCGTCAAACAACATTTACCGTCTACGGTATGGAAATACCGGTTATAACAAAATGACTGGCTTTAAAAAATAATTAAATTAAATTTTTTCTTCAATTTCGATCATTCACAATTGCATTTTCGTCTTAAAAAAAATTGAAAAAACATTCATTGTTCGTATTCCAATTGAATGGTGGACATTTAACCGAGAGACGTCACTTGAAACGCAGTGGAATGGACGCGTTAAAGATGCGCATGTGTGGCGTTTGTTGTGTGTGTCAATCAAAGGTAATAAGCGATGGTAGAGCAAGAGCATTGTATATGTGTTGCACTCTCTCACACATATTTTTCACCGTACTTGTCCCAAGTCCCGTCTTCGTTGTACACCAATACATTGACACATACGCCAGCAAAAATTCATGGCATAAATTTTCTTCACGTTCACACCAGTGCATCGCGTATGGTTAAAGTTGTTTGTACGCATTATTTCGATTTACCTTTTCATTAGTGTATCGGTCGGAGTTCCGAAAAGTAAATAAGTGAACGCCTAAGAAATCAAACAATCAAATTCTGATTTTATTATTGTGCGAAGAAAGTCGAACGAAAAGCGTTTGCGTTTTGTCATTCGCAAGTGAGTTTGTTGTGAGAAAAAAAGAGTCAAATTAACGTGATAGAAAAACTTGATGAGTGAGAAAATGCCGTATTTAAAAGAGGATGAAATTGTAATCAACGCAAAAACGGCGACCACGGCTACGTCCAATTCAAGTGCATCCGACGTTGACGATGCAGAAGAATCACTTTTTGAGAACAAGGTAGGTGCAGCAGAGTGAATAAACAACGACCACAACAACGACGACGACGACGACAAAGATGAAGAAGAAGAAGACGGCAAGAGAGGAAAATAAGCCCAAAAGGGAAAAAAAGAGTGTACAAATAAACGCGCCGTGAGGTCATACAATGCAATGTATAGAGAGAAAAAAAAACTAAAATACCAAGAACGACCATTACTGTGTATTTTGTATTGATTTTTTTCTCTTCGTCTTCATCGTTCGTCGTCTTTCATGTTCAGCGCTATTGGTTGGGCATCGTCGCGACTTGTTTACTCACAGTGATTTCTCTCTCTCTCTCCCTCTTTTGTTGTGTTTTCTTTTACATCGATTTTCATGCACAAGTGTTCAAGTTATGTTGAGCATGCATGCATTTTTTTTTAACTGAGCATACCTAGTTACTCTGAATCACCTTTACCGAGCTTGTATCTTATTGTTGTCGTTCTTGTTGCAGGCTCAAGAGCTAATCTCAACCGAAGAGGATAACGATGACGATGAAGCCACCAATTCATCTGTATCCAGCTATGCATCGACCGATTCACCGTCACGCAAACGAAAACATTTTGATCCCGATGCGGTGATTGCAACCGCACTCAACTATCTCAGCACAAATGAACCAGCTCGTGATGAACTGTGGCAGTTCATGAGCTATTTGCATACGGTGCTAAAAAATCTACCGCCACATTTACAACTTGAACTCAAGCATAAGATCCAGAAGGCAATGTACGAAGTGGAAAAACAAGATCTCGATAAAACTGACGAACGCCATGCCACCGAAAAAAATGATGTCGTACCTGATCAATGAACATTGCAATTCAATGCACAGCACATTATGAAACGACAGTAACATGAGAAAAAAGCAGCAGCAGCATCAGCAGCAGCAGCAGCAACAACAACCAATCGAGTCAGTGAAAAACAACAACAAAAAATCTTTAAACTAAAATCGATGTGTAATAAGAGAAAAAAAAGAAGGAGAAGAAGAAAACAAACTGAATACTTGTAGAATGAGCTAGGTTAAATAGAGACAGTCCAATTATTACAAAACCGAAGCATAGCCATAAGTCATATTCATCAATTAAATAACAATTCACGTGACTGCAAAGTAATTTATTTGTGGCAATCTCATTCATTGATACGTGTACTTGATAGACGCAAGTCAACATACCCCATTGAGGCAGACGAGAAAATGAAGAAACAAAAATTATTATAGATGATTATAAATATGTGTGTGTCGCAAGTGTGAAGGATAAACACAAAAGTATTATTTTTTTCGGATACTTTTTTTTTGTAACAAACCGACAATGCAATTAGCTCAATTTTTGGACCATTTTTTATAGTTTATAAATCTTGTAATTGTATTTTTAGCATACACATTTTTCGGAAGGCAAATTTTGTTCATTTTTTTCTCTTTGGGTTTTATTCCTTCAATTTGAAATGAAATATTTTGCACTTTTTTTTAGATATTTAGTTAACAACGAACAAAATCCATTCAACTCACACAGCTTCAATGCATGCAATCGCTCGTGATCTTTGATGATGCCGTTTGGGGTCATTTTAATTTAGAGAAATTCAGCCAGTATTTCGATTGAATCGATTTTGTTTGTTCGTTTCAGCCACAAATATGATATCTTCCGTTTATTTTATTTTATTTTTTTTGTAATGTAAATTGAATGGCAGTTTTTTTTCTCTCTCTTTCATTTATCGCTCAGAGAAAACAAAGATCAACTTTTGTGTAAGAAAAATATATTTTTATTATAAAAAAAAGATAAAATTTTATCTATACAAATAAATTTTCATTTTGAAAAGAACAAATAGCATTTCTTTTCTGGAGCAATCCTAAATAAACAGGAAATTTTTTTAGGCGCTTTAAATTCTCCCCTTAGATATAAATAGAAGATTATAATGGTCTTATTTTTTCCACCATATGAAAAAGCATGCAGAAAAACAAGCACTATTACATCTTACAGCCTATAAAATATGTATATTCGTTGTATCACCTATATACAACAAACGATGCAAATGCTCCTTTGTTTCTTGAAAACAAATCAAATGAATATTATTAATGATGAACCCAAAAGAGGTTAAGTTATCAGAGAATTGATAATAGTAGAAAAATAAACCAATTGTACTTTCATTTTTCAGAGCAGTGTTTTTGCATTGTACATTAGGGTGTTTTCCATAACCTGAAAAAGAAAAATGGTAGATTTTAAATTAAAGAGGAAAAAATTCTGTATCAATTAGTGGTGTTCACACAACGGAGCAATCGATATTCACACCTCCCGAAGCAAAAAGACTGCTTTTCCATTCGAATGTCTAAATAACTCTCGCTCCGAAGCGTTGAACAAATTCTACTTACCGTGATATGATGCATTGAACAAGTCATATCCAAAGAATGCGGCGACATTGTCAAACCGGAAAATGAACACGACTCATTCTGATCATCAAATAACGTCTATAAAACCACTCATGTACTGCGGTAAATAAAGTTAGACACCTTATAAACCTTAAAATAGCCCACTAAGTGCAAGGCTTGAGAACTCTAATAAACTATTAGAAAATATTTGTTAAAAAAAAACTTTAATGCTAAACGCTGGATTTTGATTTATGGATTGAGTGGAACGCCGTCGTCATCTGGTCGTCGCAGCAATGCTGGATGTATCGGAATGTCAAGCAGCGTGCAAAGACCTAAGTAAATAGAAAACAAGCACACAAATAACAATTGATTTAAGCGAAAACCAAATCGATTCCAATTTTCAAATGAAATATTAATAGATAATGAACCTTTGTACATGATCAGTTTGGCTGCTGATATGTCCCGATGCCAAAGTGATTTGAGCAACTTGCGTGTTTGTGCAGCGTCTGTTCCAGCGTTTTCAGCAGCATTTGGTTGCCAGGTTTTGAAGAAGCGTTGCTTCTTTGACACCAAACGTCCTGAATTTCGTTGGGTTAGAATGGCTGCAATAGCATCACCTTGGTCGCGCATTTCCTCCCATGTACGCATGATTTTCCGTTGCATTTGCAACACTCGTTTGCTCACGTTCGTATAGATGGTTCTCGGAAGTCCAACACGTTCATCTGGTTGGCAATCGTTGCACTTCTTGTATCGTTTGCTCTTCGTCCATATCGGGAACCGTTTGAAGCATCGGGCACAATGTTGCGATGTCATGTATTCATCCACCAACCGAACGACACAATTGCCACGTCTTTTGAAGGCTGCAATCAGCTTGCGAACGCCTGGACACCGCACGTACTTTTTGATTCGGATCGGGCAATTTGGTGAAATTTCGGCTGCTCCGATGTTGATGATAGCTGTCTTGAAATGTAACAGCTTACCGGCGATGAGATCAATTGCACGACGCCATTCAATGTGTTTGTCCAAACGTAAGCGTGCATAGTTTTTCTGACTGTATGCCGCGATACCATCTTGGGACATTCGCAGGCGATGTTCGATGTAATGGCGCCAAGAGATGTTCCGTGGCGATGGTGTCTGGCCAATCTCTGCGGCGATACGTTTGAGGTCCGCTTGTTCGTCATACGTGAAGACTCGTGTCATTCGTTCGGCTTTAATGTTGCGCGCATCTTGTTTCGATTTCAGATGGTATTGTTTGAACGAAATCTTCTCGTTGGTCTAAAAATAAAATGCAACAAAAGTGAATTAATACTTCTTCTTCTTCTTCTTCCTTTTTTCGTTTTGTAAACACTTACCTCTTCGCCGGTCTTTAGATCGAGGCGGACCGACGCAATAAAGGTTCGCATGCCTGGATCAATCCCCAATGCATACGCGAATTCGCCTGCGAAATATTTTCGTTTGGTTTCGGCCTCATCTTCATCAGCAACAGTTTTGCTCTGTTTCGGAAATTTGAATAACACCGACGCTGACACACCATCTGATATTATCGAATCGCCGAATTCCTTCTTATTCTTGACTAACTTGATAATTTCATCCATGTTGAAAAACAAACGCCAGCCCCCTCTCTCCTTGAATTCAGTCTGTGAGATCCAGCGCTGTTGATATTCGCCGTTTCGTAAGACTCGAGTGCCTTTTGTCCGCTGCATTGCCTTAATGCCACATAAAATATTGTGCAATGCATCCGTATCAATTTTCACGTGTCGGCGCTGGAATGTGCACTTCGGAATTACTGTGAAGGTGGTGATTTCAGGCGGCTCTGGGAATTCTGGCTGTTGCACATAGAGCGGATATTTTCGGAACAGATTCCAACTTTGGCGTAGATTGGCAAACGAGAGGTGAAAGTTATGAATATCACGCTGTATATTCATGAACATGCGCAATGCTTGGAACCAATTGAGTTCAACGAATTCTCTGATGTTGAATGGGTGTGGATCATCTGGTCTGTGAGGGGCTCCTATCCAATACAGCTCCGCCAACAGTATTTCCAATTTCCGTATGGCATTTGCATTGCCACGCGTTGAATCTCTCCGGTTGTATGTGTAGTTGATGGCATTTTTGATGTCGTCACCATCGAATAATTCGTCCAACTCGAGATCTCCACACAGACACATGTGGTTCAATTCGTAGCAACGCATTTTGAAGAACTTTCTCAAACGCTTTTCGCAATGCGTTTTGAGGTTGGTCTTGACGTTTGTGGCATATTGCTCGTACAGGTATTTGAATGTGTTGCCGAAAAATCTGTTCGTTGGCCACGGAAACCATTCGCCGAGAATTTTGATAACAATTTGCCGGAAACCTGGGACCATAAACATTCGATCATTGGTGTAATTTTGCCGGAGCACACCTTAGAAGCACATTTTGATGATTTCATCACCATTGCTGTTGAAAAAGTCGTTGTCGAAATCATCGACCGCCGTATTAACCTAACAAGAACAATGGTTTTTTTTGTTCAATTTGAATGAATCGAATCGGTTCAAGATGATCGTACAAAATGGCGAAAACAGTGAAAATATAAAAAAAAACTTACCAGATATAGAAAATAGAGCGATGCCAGAAGTGAGATTAGCGTTGCCATGATGCTCATTTCCCCAATCACTGTTGTCAAAATCAGCCGATACGGTTTCTGGATGATTGTTCGTAGAGCCAGTTTCACTGTTGTGAATCTCTCATCGCTTCCACCGCGAGATCCACGGGCTCCACGGGCCATGATGAATAGCTATTAAACAAAAAAAATTGAACAAATTCATGAGAAATTGATTAGATGATTGAGATTCACAAAAAAGAGCAAATTTCATCATATTATATGTTCATTTTTATAGGGAGGTAGTAATTTGTTCGACATTTAAACAATTGGATTGATTGTTTTCGGAACACAAATCGCAAGCACGGTAAAATGTTAGCCACTTTGTGTACAATCACCACCAAACGAAAAATCAAAATGAGGAAAACTAATTCGATATCATGTATTTTCTACCTAAAAACACTAACTAAATTACTTAATTTGAACAAAAAACGAATAAAACAATCACTGTAAATCGAACAGTATTCACAACAAATGACTTGCCTTTTCAAATGCTCAGATGGATATGAATCAACCGGCCCCGTTTGACAGCTGAATATTGTTTTGACATAAATACCGTACCGCAACAACTCTACTCATTTTGTGATGAAATTCATGTTTAATCGGTTCCGATATAGAAACTCAATACATGCTCGGATAACGGGATCAAATAAACAAACGCAACAAACATAACAATAACAAATGAGTCTGTTGTGTTGTGTTGCGTTGTATGCGATGAAAGAGAAGTTCGTGCCAAAATCACGCTCCTAATGTGAAACACATACACAAATCGAAGTTCTTGTTAGAAGTTTGTTTATACGGTTCGTTCGGCACATAGTAGTTGGAATGGTTGTCATTTCAAATGTTTGAATTTGGCAGATGCTGGGTAGCGTTCCGAAAACATTAGACAATTCAAATTAGACAATTCTTTTTGCTTCGGGAAGTGTGTATATCATTCGTTATAATAAATGTTTGCATTGAGAACTCGTCTCTGGCAGTGAGATTGAATCGAAAAAATGGAAAATATCAGATTAGTTTCAGCGAATAGTGATATAACCTCAAAATTCTATGATTTTCTGTTTTGATCTCGGGAAGTGGCATCTTTGATTATTTTAAAGTAAAAATACATGCAATCGACTCAGAATTGTTCACTCTTTCAATCCAGAACTACCATTTCTTGATTATTTGATGGCAAAAACACCCTATTGTACATTAGTATTAAAAATGCCATTACGATTATTTCGAACAAAATAGAATATCACTTGTCAATTTCGCTGAGACAAACAAAATGCAAATCGTTTCAAAGAAGTGATAAATGAATGGTTTGGAGCGAAAATGTAGTACAGAAAAGTTGAGCGGAAAAATGTCGATGATGAATGAGCGGAAAAGGGATAGCTATATAGTTAACTGTATAGTAAACTATAGTGAACTATATAGCTATCCCTTTTCATTTGACATTTTTCCGCTCAACTTTTCTGTATTACATTTTCGCTCCATTCAAATGGGTCTTGAAATCAGTACAATGTGTTGATTACTCTCACATTTGGCCAAATCAGCAGCTGAATATATCTCCGTTTCAATTGACACACAATAGCGACATTATCTTGCCATAAACAAATCTATCTCAGAATGGACTGTGGAACGGCTGATTTATTTATTCCACGTGAAGTCCAAAATCACGCCCATTAAATATAGGGAATTTTCCTAATGATCAATCAGTTTTCACTGATCACTACATTTGCGTAAGTTTCATTTTTACATAACTCATTCTATTTCCACATTTAGCTCGAAAAAGCGATATCTCGAGTCATTTCGCTTGCCCTTATCGCTTCTATGCTTCAGTGAAGATTTAATTGAACATTTTGCGCGATTCACGGACAGAAAACATTTTAGCTTTCACAAAAGGTCATCTGAAAGAGTCAATCGCATCGAGCAAAAAAGTCGCGCTTGTAATCACAAATTTCCTGAATTTAAGCTAAAGCAAGTGACCGACAGAGTTCAGTTGTTCGATCACTTTCATTTGGTGCTCAACAGTGAGATAAAGTATAGCCAACATGCGATTCGTTCTAACCGTCGGATTACTTGTCATCGCAATTTTGACACAATCATTTGCTGACGAACATAAACACGATGGTAATTTTATAACGTTGTTGAAATAGTTGTTTTTGTGTGAAAAATTCAAGAAATTTTTTGAAATAGACTCATCCTGATGAGGGATTTCTGAATAATCGAAAAAAAACGCCATTATCGAACATGAGCCTTCAAACATATTTTTAAAAAAATGATTTCAAAATAAAAAATTTGAAAATTCGTATTTTTCTCCAACAGGAGAAGACTCTCCATGCGCCGAGCCAAAATTCGTATTGCCAGAGGATAGAGCGGCCTGTTTAGCTACAATTCCGCGTTGGTATCACAATCATTCGTCGGGAAAATGCGAAGAATTAGATTACGACGGATGTAATAAGAATGCGAACAATTTCGAGACGAAGGAAGAGTGTGAAAAAACATGCGATGCATGGCATGAAGCTCATAAAGATCACGACCATGGACACGCGCACCACGGTCATGGCCATACACACCACCAACATTAAATCCTTCCGTGGATAGGTGTAGTTTATCAAAATCTGATATCCCTTAAATGATAACAGTTTTTTTTCTGTTCAAACCAAGGAGATTTATTTCCTACCTCCATGAATGTCATTTGTCGTGAAGCTTGAATAAAGAACAAATGTGAATTATTTTTGTTTATCAGTGAATGATTTCGTTTTATTCAATCCGATTCTATGAAATATTGTGGTTATTGTCTTTGAAACAAAATCGATTTTCATGAATTATTTAGATCTTTCTTTCGGTCGTGTCTATAAAAAGGGCGAGCTCAGAAATTGGATCACCATTTCAAATCCAATTGTCACTTCAAGCGAGAAAAATGTTGAAGAGTAAATTTCCGAAAACGAACCGAATCGAATTGTCTGACCAAAAGGTGGACAATATTTGGACATTCTATTCTAACATAAGTACTTTACATGGAGCACAACATTTGAAAAACGAAAACAAGTCATATTGGCAACGGTAAGCTACTCATTTTCGGAGTTTTTTTTATTCGTTTCTCAGTGTTGAAATGAAAAATGGATAATTCTTTCAGCATTTTCTGGAGCATTGTCATAATAAGCGCTCTCCTTAGTACTGCATATATTCAAACGCTTTTTCTTCAACGATTTATTGAGCGTCCGCTTGTAACAAGCCTTCAACGTGACTACTACACTTGGAACACAACATTTCCGAGTTTTACACTATGCAGTCAACGAAAAATGAACGAAACGGCCTTACAAATACACTTGAGGTAGAACCTTTACCTCATAGCTCACTTTTACAATGATTTTGAACCTGGAAATACTTTGATTTTGTGAAAAAATGACTCAATTTCAACGAAAAAAAACACACATTTTCAGGGAAATGAACCTACCGCGACATAGTATGCTCAAATTGGAAGCATTTCTTCGCGTTTTGGTCAATTTAACAATGTACAACTTGGACAGTCTATCAAAATTCGGAGATTTTAAATCGCCAATTGTCATGCAGGTTTGTATAGCTTGTGATAAGAGAAGAAGAAACGGAGCAAATTTTCAATTTTTTTTTCTTTCGAATAGGTGATAGAGAAGCTAACAAATAAATATGATTATGATGTTCTTATCGACTCAGTTCCAAGTTTCAAATTACAACGCACGATGACCGAGCTAGGCATTTGTGATCAATTCAATTCGGAACTTTCACAAATCTTTGCCACCGATTTTCTTATCAGTGATCGTTTGCCAGCACAAAAGCCACTTTTTGAAATAAACTATTTCGATACGAGCTCACATATTGTATTGAATGACCTGGATGATAGCAATGTGAGCGATGAAACATTTCGATTGCAACATTTTAGCTAGAATTTTGATGAAAATTTTCATTCTAATTTAAATTAGAACATTTGGATGATTTTTTTTTTATTTTTCTTTTATTTTACTATTCAAATTACTAGGTTCTTGAATTTTTTAGATTAAGTCAAGCCATTATTCGATTTTAAATGAAATCATTTTTTCTTTCCAATAACAATTATCATAATTATTTTATTCAAAGATCCATATACACGGACCATTTGAGTTACCACAATATTTACAAAAAAGAGAAATTAGCGGCTCTGTTTCGCAATATAAATCATTTACCCTAACGGCGACTACAATCGTGGCACGGCAAAATGTTCGAGCGTTATTCATTTCGCATCGTAAATGCCGGTATGGTTGCTTATGTCCAAATATTCCTTTGAAAATTCAATTGTGATCATTTAATTTAAGTTATGTTGACGAGTCAGACTTGAGCCATTTCCCCTCGATGTACGCTTTTGATTTATGCAAAATAGAATGCCGCATCAAAGCGATTATTGAACGTTGCAAGTGTGTGCCGTTCTTTTACAAAAAATTGCCACATGAAACCTATTGCAATGCTAAGCAGTTACTGTGTGTTGAATTGTTAAAGGGTAATCGCCTCTGAGAATTTCTGATTGAATTTGTCAATTGATGTGTTTATCAAACCAAATTATTGTAGATGATATCAATGAAGCGACTAAATCATGCGAGTGCTATCAATTGTGTACCAATGTGAAGTTCGGCATACAAGGAGTGAATTCATTGAATTGGCTGCAAAACAACAAATTGCGCATGGAATTGAGTAAACCGAAAATGAGATTGATTCGCGAAGCATTGCACAGTTATACTGATGTCGTAGGTAAATAACATCTAAATGAGTTTAAATGTTGAGTCAACAGAGAGTTGACACTGTTGCGTCAACATTGACTGTTCAAACAACATGAAATTTGGTTAATTTGGTCCGTTTTTATTCAGCTGCCATTGGAGCCACATTTTGTCTCTTCCTCGGCGCAAGCATCCTTACAGTAGTGGAAATTATCTACCTTGGCTTTTTACATTGTTTTAAAAAACAGTTTAAAACTGAATGATATGGCTGGAGCTACGTAACAATATTAATTTCACATTTATTTAAAAATAATTCACAATTTACACAAATCCTTTGCTGTACGCCACTGTGTGATCTACACCACAGTCGACTTTGAGAACTTGAGCGGGTAGCGCTACTTTCAGTGGGAAATATTGATCTTTTTCGTTTCGTAGACCAAGACAGGATGATCGATTGTGTCCCCACATATACAAATCGTGTGTTGTCGTCACTGCACCATAATGTGAAAATCCAGCATAAATGGCACTCACTCTGCTGTCTGGACTGAAATCATTTCGACCAAACAGTATCGGAGGAATTTGTGTCGGTTGACTGATTTGATCAGCTTTTGGCCCGAGTCCAACTAAACCAAATCCCCATACAAATACATCACCGTTTTCTATAAGAACAACAAAAACTCATTTGAATTATAACACAATAATGTATGTGAATGAATGTGCACAATAAAATACCGTTTAAAACCATACACCCTGATCCACCGGTGGCTATGTCAATGATTTTACCGCATTTTTCAATCATTTTCAAATAAACTGGCGTGTTGATCTGTTGAACGCCATTGCATAGGTCCAATTGACTATATTCTGAATTGCCCCATCCAAACACTTCGTTTTTATCTGAAATGGAAATGATTTTTAAAATTGCATTAGGAACAGTAGATTGGAACAAATTTTCAAATTGAATCTTCTTTCAATGAAAATCACGAAAAAGGCAGAAAAAATCCAAAAAAAAAAACATAGTTACCATTCAATGCAAAAACGCAATCAAATTTACATGCCAATTTCACAATTTTCTCATTTTCAATGTCGCCCAGCACTTGTGTCCATTCGCCCGTTGAATTGAAGTGGCCCAAACCAGTTTGACCATCGGCGCCCCATCCACAAGAGAATACTTTTCCCTTCTCAGTCAATAGTAAACTATGATCTAATCCGCAAACAATATCCTTCACTTTGTCACCATCACCGAATATCGATTTTCCTTCAACTCGATGCACCATTCGGCTTGACTCATACAATTCAGCTTCAACCGAGGGTCGACCGCATTGTCCATATGAATTATTTCCTAGCGTAAACAGCACGTCTGATTTCGATAAAGCTATTGAATGTGCTCTTCCGGCAGCTACTTTCACAATGTTCATATTTTCATCTTTCCTTACTCGAGGCAGCGCAATTGGTGCAGGATAATACATCAATTCCATTGGTTTATTTTGATTGCCGCCATGTTTCTGGAATCCTAACTGTGAATCAGTATTCAAACCGCATCCAAATAATGTGATTTCATCAATTTGTGGCTTGCAAGCAAACAATGTGAAGCCATAACCAGCCGCTATGTCAATGACATCAAAGCGTTCGGCGAATGGTAATCGTGTTGGATGCCGAAGAAATTTCGCTAATTTTTGATCATGTAACGATTCATTGATACCACAAGCACCAGTCACTGCTTGTCCCCAAACATACACTCGCCGATCCGTCGGTTTGTTCTTTTGGAATTCATTCACAGGAAATTTGTTCATATCTTGTCTTAACACCGATATTCGATTTTTATACCGCTTTTCTTTAGCTCGTGATGAATAGCACCGAAGCAACGGTGCCTGCAAAAATCTTACATTTATACTCCGCCACATTGTCACATCACAGTTCAATTTATATTATGTTTGCTTTGGTAATGTTGTCGAAATTTTTGAAATAGTCACAACAGTGTGTTTTGACAAACATAACCTCACTTGCATACTCCGCATGACAATCCGTGAATTTGACAGAAGAATTACAGTTCGAACTGTCAATGCTCCAGTTAAAGCTGCCAAACCGCTTTAATTTCAGACTTCTGTAACGTAGAAATGAACTTTGGAAGCTTTATTCAGTGTTTGACGAATTTTAAATGTTAACAAATTTCTTGCGATAAAATTGTTGGGAATGAATGACCTTATTTGAACTTTGAACTATTTCATCAAATTTCTATTATTAGTGCAATAGCTATAAAATGTTCATTTCAATTCAAACTAAAATAATTTTATTATTCCACAGTATGTTATGTGGTGGCAACCCACATAATTTTTGGTTTTTGACACGATTTTTGGGTTTTTTCTTCTTCAGTAAATAACTGAAAAAATTAATTGAACCAAAACAACGCCAAGCTTTGTTATTTGGAATTATTATTCGAAGATGATATTAAAATCAATGAATTGGGTTCGATGTTGAATATTTACCGAAACCTGAACATCAACATTGGCTCCAACCGAAAATTACATGCATAATAAGATTATAAAAGCAGGTGAACTAATTGAAAAAATCAATAAATTATCGGTTGGATCGGTGTTTTTTGGAAAGTATACGTGAATGTATTTGAATTTTAAAGATTAACGTCCAACCACAAAATGTCAAATATTGAATTCATTTCGTGGCGAATGCTTTGTATAAATAGATTTTTAAAAGTTAATCAATGGTCAGTGTTCAACTTAACATTTTGAGAATTGCACGCGCGTATCAAGCGAAAAATGAAGCTAGTCTGCTTGTTGACTATCATTTTGTTTGCCGTTCTTGTAACATCAAGACCACAGAAAAAGGAGGATAAGCCAACGAAGGAATTGACACCAGGTGAAAATTTTCGGTGAACAGTCATTTGAATGAAAAGTGTATTTAATTGCATCTCCTTTTGAAAAATAGAGGAAATTTGTGCGCTAGATTCATCGGATGGCAACTGTGAAGCATATTACCCGAAATTCTTCTTCAACTCAAAAGTTCGCCGATGTGAATTATTCCTATACGGTGGATGTGGCGGCAATGCCAATCGATTTAATAATATGCGAGAATGTGAATCAAAATGTGGCAATTTTAAGTTTAAGAAATCGAATTAAATAAATTTAGAGATTTACAACAAAGTCAACGCAGAGATCTTGTTTTTCTTCTCCGTAATATTTACGGTTTGACATGAATGATTTATCAGCATTGCAAATTAGTACTACATTAATCACCTCATTTAGATCTACAAATTTCTATTGACGTGAACGCTATAGGTAATAATTCACATCACTGTGCACGTGCACACCTCAACGCTGGTAATTCCGATGCAAATTTATACTTTGTTGCTTTTATTGAATTCTGACATTCGGCGTCTCAGCAAACTGAAAGCCTTGCATTTCTTTCATCTTTTCTCTATTGACATATTGAGATGCGACAAAATTTCCTTGATTCTTAGAATTACGTTTACGTGTTTAACGTGCTAGTGATTCACACTCATAGTATGGGAAAACAGCGAATAATAAATAAATCAAATCACAGCATTCGGTGTAGCTTCAATGAAAGCCGTGAATGAGACTCGTTGTAAAACAAAAATGAACGATCGTAAATAATTGATTTGTGAAATTGGTTTTATGTGTGTGCAAATGCACAATGTTTTGCATGACGTAATTTCTTATCAGCCCGGCTGATTCAGCCGAATGCACTGTGTCGCCAACACGCTCATTGAATAAATACAGTCAGTATTTAGAAGATTCAAATGCAACTTAATATATAGTCCATCTCGTGCATCGATCGGAACAACACGTTCAAACTATTAGAAAAACTTGAAATTCAAACAAAATGAAGCTGCTTGTTATTTTCGTAACTATTCTCTTTGCTGCAGTTGTTTCATCAAAGACACGAGGTAATTCTCAATTATTTTCGGAATTCCATTTCATTTTATTCATAATTTTAATTGAATTCATATCATCAGAGGAGATTTGTGCATTACCAAAATCAGACGGAAATGAACGTACGACTTGTCTGGCATATCTTCAAAGTTTTTTCCATAATTCAACGAGTGGCAATTGCGAGGAATTCATTTACGGCGGCTGTGGAGGAAATGAAAATATATTCTCGTCCAAAGATGAATGTGAAAAATTTTGCAAAGGCATCAAAAATTTGGATGGAGCAACCGAAAAACCGCAGGATTGAATCGATATGCAACGCACCAGACCTTTTGTGCACACCACGTTTATTTTTTTGTATCGTGTAAGCCGAAATTTGACCAAGTTGTGTATCATTCTGTTTTTGATAAATAAATGATCGAATTTTCTGAATTGTGTAAAACAAATGTGTTTTGGAATAATAATGATATTTTGATATGAAATTGGTGTCAAAAATTCGCATTTTAAAATCAATCTCATCGCTCTATTCTGTATTAATTGCATTTGCTCTATTTCTTCTTTGTTATTTGCTAGACCAATTGTCGAACAATATTGAAATGCTGGTAGTATTATTGAATTAAAAATTACTTTATTGGTGTCAAATGTTAAATTCTTAGATATTCTAAGCAGAAAATAGGTTTTTCTGGCTGCATTTTTTATGCTTGTTTCCGCTTGCTCTATGAGCGTTAATTTATCATCTAATTTTATGCCTAAGTACGTTACACTAGAGAATCGCCCGATTATTTCTTTATCAATTTTTACATCAGGTACAATCATTTCGTTTATGTTTTTCTTTGTTACTATCATACAATTCGACTTTTTCGTATTTAACAATAAAATTATTTTGCTTTAACCAATCCGCGATTCTTTTAAAGTCTTCATTTATATTATCTATTGCTGTATTTAGATTTTTATGTTTCACTATAACGGATGTATCGTCGGCAAATAAAACAAGGGAACCCTTTTTTGGTACTTTAGTTATCGAATCAATATAAATATTAAATAGAATAACACCTAATGTGGCTCTTTGAGGGAGACCGATTGGAACGTCGATTTCGTTTGATAAACTGTTTTTGTATTTCGTTTGTTGCTTTCTGGCGGATAAGTAGCTGGTGAACCATCACAGTTCGATGTCGTTTATGCCGATTGCTGGAAGTTTTTCGATCATGAATCAATTTTATGACAGAACGATTGCTTCTCCAGAAGTCTACGTATACTGTATGCTAGGTTTTAGGTATGTAACAACTACACCAGCACACGATGATTAAATTGGGAAAGACCGAAAATAATGAACGGCAAAAATATGTTTATTAAGTTGAGAATTCAAATATTAGATTGGAACATCAAGTGTACATATATTCTGATTGAAAATGTTGTGATGAAATAGCTATTTCTAGCTAATGTGTGTCATTTATTTTGCAAGAATAAAAATGTGTCATTCTTTCCGTCAGTTTCTTTTTCTTATCAAAAGTCAAAAGTATCCTTGTGATTATATGTGACTTGATTATGGTCCAATGTTGTGTATAAAAAAGGTTTTTCGGTACATTTCATGTCAGTTATTCTGGAAGTAAAACGCTAAAAAACATCAAAAAATAATCATGAAGTGGTTTAGCCTTTTCTTTGCTATTCTATTGGCTGTTGTCGTTTCATCAAAGGAATTGACGAAAGGTGAACTTCAATTTCCCAATATTATTATCATTTTAATTTATTCGACTTATTTTTTAATTGAACAGAAGAAATTTGCGCATTGCCATCAGAAGCTGGACCATGTAGAGCAGAGATCACAACGTATTTCCATAATGCAGCGACTGACAAATGTGAGACATTTTTGTTCGGCGGTTGTGGCGGAAATCAAAATAAATTCGACACCGAGGCCGAATGCCAAGAATTTTGCAAAGACATCAAATATTAGATGAAACCACTGAAAAGTCATAGAACTTGATCGATCTACGGTTCACCAGGCATTTGATACACACCTAGTTTATGTTATTTGAATCGTGTAAGCCGTAATTTGACCAAATTTTGTGTTCGTTTTTTGATAAAAAATAAATGAACGAACCTTCGGAATCATAAACAAATGTGTTTTGGAATATTAATTAAAGTAAATATTTTCGATTGATGACCACTTATACTGTATGCTAGATTTTAAGAATTGTGCTGTATGCTAGATTTTAAATTTTTTTCGAATAGATCATCAAATGCGTGCGATTAGATGATTCAAAATGGGAGCGACGGAAAGTATTATGTTTTGTCTGGATCTATGAGATACTTTCAGTTTGAGTAACGTTAATGAAAAAAAACTGGAATTGATACAATTATTGTACTCCATTTTTTTCTTCATACGTATTCGCTAATGTCGTCATACGACAAAAATGTGTTTATCAATTCCTAACTTACCAAACAAGCATTTCATTAGAATAATATACAAATTCTGATGGTACAGTGAAATTGTTGTCATTAGTTCTGAAGGAAAAAACCAATGACATCATGCGTAATTCTTTCCGTCAGTTTTTTTTTCTTATCAAAAGTCAAAGGTGTCTTTGTGATTATTTGTGTTTGCTTATGGTCCAATGTTGTGTATAAAAAAGGTTTTTCGGTACATTTCATGTCAGTTATTCTGGAAGTAAAACTGTTGGAAGCACAGAAACTTGCTTAGAAAATGCCTGCAAGTATGCTTCCAAATATTCTCATTACGCTTAATAAGTTACACCTGTTTCGGGCCTATTGTGAGACTCGTTTATTTTGGGCGTGATAACAGATGTTTGCATAGGAATTTACTTCAGCCGTGGGTTTACGTAGAAATTCACGATACGGTATTATAACTAGACCTCCCAAATGCATTTCGGCTCAAATCGGGAATTTTGTTGCTGAAAAGCGGGAAGAATTGGTCGAAATCAGGAATTTTTCAGTATCAATAATTTCACTGTAAAATGCATTTGAGAGGCCCAATTTAACATTACCTTTTAAGCTGAAGCAAAAAATTTCCAGAACAAATGACTCGATGACTGGGTCACTTTTGCATTTTCCATGCGCTTGTGTTGATCGGTTTTCATATGCCGCATCACATCGTTACGGCCACCATGTGCCACCGAAAATTCTAATGGACACCAAAGACATTTTGCTTCAGTCTCAATACTGCCTCGAGAGAGCCATCCTCTGGAAATTGGCTCGCTCTCCCAGAGCACAGAATACTTTGTGTCTATGGGAGGCATGCTAAACAAAAACAATTTTCTCTTGCAAAGATTTATTCGATCTATAGCTTATGAAATCACACGACACACTGATTGAAATTACAATAAGTGTGAATCGCGACAAGCAAAACTGCAACAGTACATAATTGTTCTGGTGTTGGAGACAGCATGTCTGGCAATACATACTGATTTACATACCCATTCCAAACAAAAGACCCGAGTATACAGTTTTTGTTTATTAATCGATATTTTGTGTTATCTTTTGTTCAATGCACGTTTTACTTAGTCGCCATGACTCAAAATCTGGAGACATCATTTTTGCTGACAAATGCAAAATCGGCAGCTGTTTTCAAAACTGTTTGGAGAAAAAAATCACAACGCAATTGGCCCACATTTGATTGTTGATATCAATGTATTTCGTAATTCAAATTCTGAGGAGTTATGAAAAAAAGAGATTGATTATTCGTAAGTGAAAAAATGATTTATTTGTATACCATGAAGAAATTTTAAGAAAAAAAAACTTGAATCAGGAGAATTTTGGCCCATATCGGAAATGGGAAGTCTAATTATAACCATTCGACTATTTGCAGTAAACCATCTGTTAGTCATGCAACAGAGCATGCGGTGATCACGCCAAGGTGAAGACTTAGCAACATGCGCTAAATTCGGCGTAATTGCACAACTGTTTTGCAATAATTGTGCGTCATTAGAAGCTCCGATCCATTGTTCGATTTAAGTATAAATAGGCATTCGATTTGCTTGAAACTTCAGACGTTCCCAAAAGCTGCAACACTAGATACTATTACCAAAGTTAATCTGGGGTAAATCAGTTTTTTTATTCCCACTGATATCAAAAAAAGGGAACCATTCAACAAGTAAAGTAATAAACAACAAAAGTTATAGAAAAAGAAACTCTGTGTTTTACTAGAAAACACCAAAAAATAATCATGAAGTGGTTTAGCCTTTTCTTTGCTATTCTATTAGCTGTTTTTGTTTCATCAAACGCAGAGACACGAGGTAATTTCTAATTATTTTTTGCAATTCCATTTTATTTCTTTCATCATTTTGATTTATTTCACTTCATAAAAACAGAGGAGGTTTGCGCATTGCCTTCCTTAGATGGAGATGGACGTGTTGCGTGTTTAGCTTATATTCCAAGTTGGTTTCACAATTCAAAGACAGGAAAATGTGAAAAGTTCATCTATGGCGGGTGCGGAGGCAATGCAAATAGATTCAACTCTGAACAGGAATGCAACCAATATTGCAAAAGTAGAACAAACTAAGAAAAACACTGGATAAATTGCATTCAAGGCGTTTTAGTCAGCGATATTTAAATTTCAATTTCAGACGGAACTCTTGTTGAACATTCGATTTCTTTGTTTGTTTGTTTGTTTATTATCAGCCATTTGATATTCAAAAAGTTGAAAATTCCATTTGGAATTACGTTTCGGTGCAATATAGTCAAATACGAGAAAAGTCGATTTTCAAAAAAAAAAAAAACATACATTCTTTTACGTCTCACGAATAGTTATACTGTATGCTAGATTTTAAGAATTTTTCAAATAGATCATCAAATGCGTGCGATTAGATGATTCAAAATGGGAGCGACGGAAAGTATTACGTTTTTTATATTAAGTATTATGTTTTGTCTGGATCTATGAGATACTTTCAGTTTGAGTAACGTTAATGAAAAAAACTGGAATTGATACAATTATTGTACTCCATTTTTTTCTTCATACGTATTCGCTAATGTCGTCATACGACAAAAATGTGTTTATCAATTCCTAACTTACCAAACAAGCATTTCATTAGAATAATATACAAATTCTGATGGTACAGTGAAATTGTTGTCATTAGTTCTGAAGGAAAAAAACCAATGACATCATGCGTAATTCTTTCCGTCAGTTTTTTTTTCTTATCAAAAGTCAAAGGTGTCTTTGTGATTATTTGTGTTTGCTTATGGTCCAATGTTGTGTATAAAAAAGGTTTTTCGGTACATTTCATGTCAGTTATTCTGAAAGTAAAACGCTAGAAAACATCAAAAAATAATCATGAAGTGGTTTAGCCTTTTCTTTGCTATTCTATTAGCTGTTTTTGTTTCATCAAACGCAGAGACACGGGGTAATTTCTAATTATTTTTTGCAATTCCATTTTATTTCTTTCATCATTTTGATTTATTTCACTTCATAAAAACAGAGGAGGTTTGCGCATTGCCTTCCTTAGATGGAGATGGACGTATTGCGTGTGCAGCTTATATTCCAAGTTGGTTCCACAATTCAAAGACAGGACAATGTGAAAAGTTCATCTATGGCGGGTGCGGAGGCAATGCAAATAGATTCAACTCTGAACAGGAATGCAACCAATATTGCAAAAGTAGAACAAACTAAGAAAAACACTAAAGAAATTGCATTCAAGGCTAAACGTTTTAGTCAGCGATATTTTCAATTATATTTCATTATAATAACGTTGAGAGTTTTAGGTAGCATCCAAAAAAAATCAAATAAATTTGCATTATACTTTCCATAGAACAATATTCATTAAAAATTCATTAAATGATTATCTTTTTGGTGCAGAAGCTCAAATATTATTGATTTTTACTCAACATTTCGGGAATCAGAAGATGTATTTAATTGTGGCAGTGTATCATCATCTAGAAATGGATAATAACCAACAAGAACCAATTACGATCGGGAGATCGGCAGTAAGTCCAAAGTACATCGACACTGACTTTATCTGTATGGGTAAATCATGCAAATGTTGAAGTTACAAAAAGTTTCATGAAAATATACGGAGAAAAAAGTTCTACATACGCGAATAAAATACTTGATTTTAATGATTTTACTCATCGAAATTTCGGTTGGAAGAATTGTTGGTATTTCGACATCTACATGAATTGTCTTCTCTTCATTTGCGCCGCAACCATCACTTGTTTTTTCGAGAAAAATTGTTTTTCCTTTACCTTATCGTCTATTCCATATTTTCGGCTGCTATACTTGATTAACTAGACGAATGTAAGTGTAATTTGCAAAAGATTATTTAAAAAAAACTCAAGATGCAAATGAATAAACAAAATAGAAACTTGAATCAATTTTATTTTGAATTGAGAAATGGCTACATCGCTTCAATTGTTTACATGGATTTCAAAATTGATCGTTTGACGTGGCAGAAATCCGCCGACAGGTGCCCGAGCATTAATTGTGATTGTTTTAAATGGCCGGTCTATGTACACTAGGGTGTTTTTGGTATTAAATAAACAGAAAATGGTAGTTTTAGTTTGATAGAGCAGAGAATTTGGAATCGATTTCATATATTTTTGTCCGGAATCAGTCCAAGATGCCACTTCCCACAAGCAAAACAAATGTTCGTCGAATTTTGAGGTTATATCACTATTCGCTAAAACTAATCTGATTTTTTCCATTTTTTTCGATTCAATCTCACTGCCAGAGATGAATTCTCAATGCAAACATTTATTTTCACGTAATTTTCATTGGAATAAGTGGCCAAATAGTCGAAAATTCACACAAATTGTATTGCCTCTTTGACCGGTTCTTCAATCATAGAAAAAACACCGACAAACTCATTTTTTCACAGAAATTCATTCAATGGATTTGAACTAGACGATAAATTATCTAAATCCACTAAAATATCCATTCGAAAAAAAAACAGGAAGGCCAAATTGCAGCAAAACCAAAACGTAAACAAAAACGAGCTGTCATCATAAAATCTGGACTTCTTTGAAATTTTAAAGGGCTACCAATGCACTTGTGCGAATGGATCACAGTCAATTCGCACACAGTGATTCGCGCAGATGTATTTTGGTCTTGTCAAACATCAAACTAAGCCCGAATTTCATAATGACAGCTCGTTTTTGTTTACGTTTTGGTTTTGCTGCAATTTGGCCTTCCTGTTTTTTTTTCGAATGGATATTTTAGTGGATTTAGATAATTTATCGTCTATTTCAAATCCATTGAATGAATTTCTGTGAAAAAATGAGTTTGTCGGTGTTTTTTCTATGATTGAAGAACCGGTCAAAAAGGCAATACAATTTTTGTGAATTTTCGACTATTTGGCCACTTATTCCAATGAAAATTACGTGAAAATAAATGTTTGCATTGAGAATTCATCTCTGGCAGTGAGATTGAATCGAAAAAAGTGGAAAATATCAGATTAGTTTTAGCCAATAGTGATATAACCTCAAAATTCGACGAACATTTGTTTTGCTTGTGGGTAGTGGCATCTTGGACTGATTCCGAACAAAAATATATGAAATCGATTCCAAATTCTCTGCTCTATCATACTTAAACTACCATTTTCTGTTTATTTAATACCAAAAACACCCTAATGTACACTTTGTCTATATTCTCGATGAGGACTGGTTGCTGAAAAATATACAGAAAATCAATCACTAAACGACTCAATAAAATATTTGATTAAATATCTATGGGTGAGATTGAGAGTAGTGTATGTTTGATTGACTTTGTTACGAAAGAGAAGAGCAAGTTTCTGTCGACTTAAAAATGGTTAAAAGCGAGTATGTTCGTTAAAACCTCGCGGTTTTTCACGGTTTCCGCGGAACTGATAAGAGATAACAAATTGGTGTCTTCTGCAAAGTTGTAGCACTCGAGGTCTTCTATAACATCGCTGAAGACAGTTATCTCTTATCTCTTATAAGTTCCGCGAAAAGCGCGAAAAATGATAAGAAAAAAAAAGTTCTATATAAAGTTTGCTTTTTTATGTGCGCGATTTGCGCGCAACTGATAAGAGATAAGAGATAACTGTCTTCAGCTTAGTTATAGAAGACCTCAAGTACTACAACTTTGCCGAAGACACTATGTTGTTATCTTTTATCAGTTGCGCGAAAACCATGAAGACCGCGGAGGCTAGACGGTACTACAACATACTCTACTTTAACGCCAACAGAATCATTTGAAAACATACTCGCCTTTTCAAAAATATAAATCGAAGAAAAAACATACTCCACTCTCAATCTCACCCATAGATATATTACTCGTACCAACGGATCATCGTTTAGATTTAATGCCTTGATAAGAGTGAATTGTTTTGTGAACTCTTCATTTATCCCCCTCGGTCGTTCAAGCAATACAACTTGAACATAATACTTAATATGTCCATATTTTCCGCAGAGATGACTTTAGCGCACCCGAGTATTTGTGTTGTTTTTTTTTTGTTTTTTTTCTTCGTTGTACTTTACCATTTTGGTCAAAAAAAACTTTGTATCAATATTTTGTGTAACATAACAAAGAACAGTTTTTGAAAAACCACATTTATATTAGTAAAATATGAAGAAAAAATCCCCAAAAGTAGAAATTGCGTAATATTGCGAAATTGAGCCAATGCGCGTAATTACTAGGTGCATATGACCACACAATGCGAATACCGGGGGCAGAAAATGTAAGCTCTTCTTCGTTATGTTACACAAAATAATATTTAAAAAAAATCCTCGCCAAAAAGCTAAAGTAGAACGAAAAAACAACAAAAATACTCGGGTGCACTGTAGCGCACTTGAGTGCGCTAAAGTCATCTCTGATTTTCCGTTGAATAACGATAGCACGTCCGTTGGCAACATAAATTCATACGTATAATTGTATGTTCCTGCCTCCAATATATACTATGGCATCCTGGAGATTTACCTATCGCAACCAGAATGACTTATCATGCGATAAGCAGATTATACAATAAACTAAATGCTATTTAATCGAAATAACTCTTTGTTTTCATGCAAACCCACGATCCGACAGCAAAAACTAAGAATACATTGATTCTTAAGGACACTGAATGTACAGAATGTGAAAACACATTTGTGTGTACAGAATGTGCACACATTTCTGTGACGTAATCATGCTATCGGATCGTGTGCAAACCAAAGTGAAGAGGTCAGAAATAACTTTAGGGCGTTCAAAATATGTATTCAAAGTTTTTTTTCAGTATTCATTTTGATGTCTTCCAACTAGTTCGAAATGATTCTCATCCGCTGGAGTGGTGAAGCATATTATCCGAAGTTCCTATTCAATTCAAAAGTTACCAGTGTGAACTATTACGATGGATGTGACGGCAATGCTAATCGATTAAATAATATGTGTGAATGTGAATCAAAATGGGAAAATTTCAACTTTGAAAAACCGAAATAAATTCACAGATTCACCACAAAGTCAACGGGTAGCTCTTGTTCTATCGTTGTTGTTTGGTGCGGTTTAAATGATTCATTATCATTGCAAAACAGGCTTTGTTATGCGCTAAATCCTCGTTCACCGCAAAGCGAGCGCATCACATTTATCGCATAAATCTATCGCATGAATTTATTCAGCGTGTTGGATTCAGCGCATAACAAAGCCTGTTGCAAAATGGTACTTAATCAATCATCCCATTAAAATATAAAATTTTCTGTTGATGCGATCGCCGTAGGCAATAGTTTACTGCACGTGCATTGATTTTTAATAGAGTGGTGTACATGTACAATTGAAACGATGTTAATTCCGATGCAAATTTATATGTTGTTTATATTGGAAAATTGACAACAAACAAAATGTCTTGCATTGCTTTGACCTTTTCTCTATTGACACATTGAGATATGTGACAAATTTCCATACTTTTATCGAACTCATCATAATCAATCGACAAAAATGGGAAAACCGCAAGTGTAAATATCAAATCACAAAACTCTGTGTAACTTTAATGAAAAAAAGCTGGAAATGCAACTCATCGTGCAACAAAAACGAATAATTGTAAATATTTGATTTGTGAAATTTGTTTTGCATGTGTACAAATGTACAATCATTTGCGTGATGTCATTACTTATCAACAAAATGCACTGTGTCATCAATAAGCCGATTGACTGAATGCAATCAGTATTTAAAAGGGTTCAAATGGAACTTCACTTCTAATTATTATCGTGCATCAATCGGAACAACACATTCAAAGTGTTCAAACAGTTAAACTTGAAACTCAAGCAAAATGAAGCTGATCGTTATTTTCCTTTCTGTTCTCCTTATTGTAGTTGTTTCATCATTGACACAAGGTAATTCCCGATTCTTTTTGCAATTCCATTTCATTTTATTAATAATTTTAATTTAATTCATATCATCGAAACAGAGGAGATTTGAATGGGCAAGCGGAATAATGAAACGTAATTCTGTTTTTAAATGAAGTGCCTCTGAGAAAAATTTTCAGTAAAAAAGCCCCACAAAAATATTGTCTGAATAAGATTTTCATACAAATTTTTATCAGACAATATTTTTGTGGGGCTTTTTTACTGAAAAATTTTCTCAGAGGCACTTCATTTGAAAACAGAATTACGTTTCATTATTCCGCTTGCCCATTCATTTGTGCATTGCCTTCTGAGGGTGGCTTTTGTCGCGCTCATATTCCAAGTTGGTTCTACAATTCAACGTCAGGACAATGTGAACAGTTCGTCTATGGTGGGTGCAGAGGCAATGAAAATAGATTTAACACTACAGTTGAATGTGAGACGAATTGCAAAAATGTGACGAAAATCGAAAATTTGAATTTGAATTTGTGAATGTTGTTGGCTTGATTGAATAAAAGAGTTAAGAGTTCGTGTAACTTTTCGTAGTAATCACGTTGTCAGTTTAGTATAGCAATCAAAGAATTGAAATAAATTGTTCAAAAATAAACTGTTCGCTTTTTTGCAATGTTCACATACAAATACTATTTGTACAATTGTTGCAATAAATGTTCTTGATGCAGTAGCTCGATGATTATTTATTTTGACTCAATACTGTTCTAGAAAATTAAGATATCCCATTTGAAAGACTGACGCTATGCGCTCTGTATTCGCACTATTCCGCTTCACTTCATGATACACACAGCATATACACAGGAGACAGCCCACAGAGCGGAATGGCTCGAACACTATAAACAGTATTCATGTGTATCGTAGTAGCCTGCGGATTGTGGAGTGTGTGCTGTGTCTTGTATTTGCTTTGTATAGATCGGAATAGCGCGAATACAACGCGCATAACGTCCATCTTTCTAACGGGATATTTCAGTCCATAATTGATCGGGGCATCTTGAATTGAATGAGAGCTAATCGTGATCGGGCGAGTGTGATCGGGAGGTCAAGAATATGATCCAAGTACATTGAAGTTATCAGTTCCGTTATCTGTGTGGGAAATCATGCAAATGAAATGAACGGCAGTTTGATTGTGCATTGAAACAAATAGATTTGAATCGAATCACTGCTCATTTTGTGCCCGACCAATCAAAAACAATTTCAAGTTCATATCGTCTGTCGTTTTCCTCGGAAATCAAATCGGAAAGTAATAGCAAATCAGTCACGATATGGCAGTTAATGGAATTCATGAAGTGATGCAATAATCAATAATTGACACGTTTCTCTTTATTAAACATTTATCTTCAATTGAAAACATTAATATATGAATACAAACGAACATTGTTCTTGATTGTTCTCACAAAAATAAATTAAGCTTTGTATTGTCACGAATAAATAGTTATATTGATAACGCTCTGAAAAGCGCTCTTGGTCGCTCTGAAATCTTGACCATAAAATTTTTTTTAAAAAATTGTTTATAAAATAGTGCATTAATTTGGTGTTGAAAGCAATTAAGGTCGCAAAAACTTAAGACATCACGTTATCCTGGAATGGATATGAGCCAATCGTGATCGGAAGATTGAGAATAACATTTTTATAGAGCAATGGCGTACACGCTTTCACCTATGAAGAAAATATTAAAACAAAATATGTTCAACAGGTCTTTAAGTTAGACATTGTTTTTGAAAGAAATCAAAATGACGAAAAAGTACTTTTCCACTGACACGAATCAAATATGTGACCTTAACGACCTTGCTCATCAAAATTTCGGTGGGTGGAGTTGGTGGTATTTCGGCAGCTATATGAATTGTTTTATATTCAACTTCATTACAGCCATCGCTTGTTCCTGTGAATAACGATTTCTCTTCTTGTTTTTTATAATTTGATTTATATCCGCAGCAGTCGTAATCCTTCAAGTATGTGATCAACTGGAAGGACGGAAGAATAATGGAATTAAAAGCATTCAATTGAGAAGAAAAATTTAAAAAAAATGTTTACTTGGATCAATTCTATTGTGAAATGAGAGATTGCCACACTGCTTCGATTTTGAACATTGATTTCCAAATTGACTGTTTGACGTGGCAGGAATCCGCTGACAGGTGCTCGGGCAAGGATATATATTCGATTCCGATCAAAGCACTGCAGACAAAACGGCAAAACTCCACTAATCTCTTCGACAGTGAGTGGTTGCTATAAAGAAATGTACAACAAAGAACAATTGCTTTTAATTCGATCAGGGAATAAATGTAATGGACATTACTCGTAACGATTGTTGGTCATTCAAATTAAGTGCTTTGATCAGAGTGAATTCCTCTTTGAAGACCTTGCTCATCCATAGTGGCACATCGAGAACAACTCGAACAGTGTATTTGATGTGTCCAATTTTTCCGTCAATCGACGATGGAACGCTAGATGGCATTATGAATTCAAATGCATATTCGTGCATTCCTGCCTCCAAACTAATTTCACCTGCTACATATGAGCCCACCAAATACATTTTTTCATCCAAATACTTTTCTTTGGCTTCTACTTTAGTTTTGCCACTTTTCCAACTAGCAAACGCTTTTCCTTTTATGCGAACGTACACACTACGAACATTGGTGTTCTCCGTCAAATTCAGTCGTACCATGCCCCGCAACAACTGACCGGCATAAATGATTTTTCTTGGATTGTCTTCAAACTCAATTACGCAAGTGGCAGACATCTTGGCGATTTCCAAAGTTCAATAGATACCGAATTTATCTCAATTATTCGCATGTAAGTCTTGACAATCAGTTCCAAAAGGATGCTACGACGCTAGTAAAAGAGTAACTCAGCTTGTTTAGTAACTTCAGTCTGATTTTTGCCTTTTTCGATACAATTTTAATTTATTTATGAATGTGTTATGATTTTATGATAATCGCAATGTAAATTCTACACGGAAATATCCTTTTTTTATCAGCAACGGTTAACTATAAATGTCTTCACAACCTATTTTGACAGGAGACTGCTTTTTTCTTTTCATTTTTGCGTTGAAGAAACGTCATGGCGAGGATTTGCCGCACGTCACGCACGCAGTTTTCCACGAAAATCCAGAACAATTTGCGGAGCATCCTCCACACAATAGTGTGGGTGTTCTCTGATAACGCTTGGTTGTGATAGTATTACAGTGATACTTTGAATATTTAAAGGGAAAAAAATGTTGCGGTAATGCGTTTGGACGGAATCACATAACCCTTTGTCGTACGCATAGCACTGTGAGTAATGCAGTGGTCCACTGCCAGTGGATAGGTCAAATAAAAACCGATATTTTTTTGTGTTGCATTCTTTTATTTATCCAAATGAAAACCGAATGTCAGCTGTTTTCAATTAATAATATTATCAGCGATTTCCAAATTTCAATTGGAAACGATTTTTTCTTCAATTTTCGATAATCAGTTCCAAAAGGATGCTACGACGCATGAAAAGGGTAACACACTTTGTTTAATAACTCTGAACTAATTTTAAATTGCTATTTTCGATGTTATTTTCATTTATTTATTGATATGTTATGTTTTGATGATAATCAACATGTGAATTCTACGCGAAAATATCCGCTTTTTTGAGCAACGGTAAACAACAGAATTTTGACAGAAGACGGTCTTTTTTCTTTTATTTTCGCCTGAAGAAACGTCATGCGAAGAATGTGCGCAGTGCTCCGCAAAAAGTCAGAACAAATCCTCCGACTGTTGTGTGGGTGTTTTCTGATAAAACGCTTGGCTATAATACTTTCAGAATTTGAAAAGAATCGTTGCGTCAACGCGTTTGGACGGAATCATATAACGCTTACTCGTACGCATCGCACCCTGAGTGTTACAGTGGATATGTCAAATAAAAGCCGATATTTTTTGTGTTGCTAAAGAATAAAGACTTTTATTTTGAAGAATGAAGACATTTTACACCATATAAACAGTAAGGCACATGAACATATATCATAACATATGGGTATAATAATAACGTTATTAAATAGTAAATACTGATAGAATTTTTTAAGGTCAATACACATAAACTTTGGTATCTTTTTGTTAGCCAGTTTCAAATCAACGAACAATAGTTTATATTTTCGTTGCATTCTTTTCTTTATCTATCTATTAGATAGAAATATGAACACCGGCCATACACTCAATTGCACTGCAATGACTGTTTATTTTTATTTTAATGTCTCTGTTGTTCTTTCGAAGAAAAGGGAAATAATCTAAAAGTAATCTAAAGTTAGTCTAAAGTATATTTTGTCGAAATTGCATATTAAATGAAATGGTTCGTCCAATTGTGTGCATATTAAACGAATTTATATCCTTAATTTTGCGTAATTTACAAAAATAAAAGAAACGTCTTAATAATATGGAGTGGTTCATATTTTTCTTAATTCTATTTACTGTTTTCGTTGTATTGAAAGTACTGCTTAAGGCGATTTTATACCTCGTTCCATTCACAATATATAGAAAAATATAAAGAGTATTTCTATGGAACTTCACGAAAGAGATTTGCATTTTCTTTCTATAAAACTAATAATATTCACGGTATAGGTATTATGATCTGTTTGTTTCTGTAATGTTTCTGTACAAATGTAACAATTGATGATCATGATTTTTATGCAAAAGCTAAGAAACTATTGGCTTTCGACATGATTCGATCGACATGATTGGAAGATGTATTTGAAACCATATTTCATTGTGTCAATGTTTGTCACATGAGTCATATGACATATTTTTAGTAATCGCAATTCTCGAAACAGTAAATATATCGAAGCATAAATCCATAATTCCAACTAACTTCAAACAAAGATTTATTATAAGTATCAAAACTATGTCAATTAAAATTATTTGTTCACTCAGCGAATAAAGCAAACGAATCGATGTAACTAGTAAAGTAAGAAGAAACAATAAAATCAGTTTAGTTTCGGACAAACTCAAATTCACAAGTCTATCACTATTGTTGGACGACACCGTCGTCATGAGATGTTTGATCTTGGAATGGATAAGAGCCAATCGTGATGGGTAGATAGAGAGAGCGATTTTTGTACAACCCAGGCATGAATGCTGTTATCTGTACGAATAAATATTTTTAACACCGATTTTGGTTACGAAATTTTTGTTTGAAAAAGAACCGAATATCGAAAATAAAAGTTGAACTTACGCGAATCAAATAAGTGACCGTAATGCCCTTGCTCCACGCAATTTCGGTGGGAGGAGTTGCTGGTATATCGACATCTAAATGAAACATCTTTTCCTCTTTTCCGCTGCAACCATCGATTGTCTTCGAAAACAGACATTTTTCTTCTTTTTTTCCATAATTGCTTTTGCATCCGCAGTATTTGTATTCCCTCGAGTAGGAGATCAACTGGAAGAATGGAACCATGGCGTTTATTTGAATAAAAATGTCCAGATCGCAAAAAAAACTTACTCGAATCAATTCAACTGTGAATTTATACACATCCACACTACTTTGATTTTGTACATGGATTTCCAAATTGACCGTTTGACGTGGTAGAAATCCGCCAACAGGTGCTCGAGCGGTAATTGTGATAGTCTTCGGACAAAAGAATCCAAAACAAAACGGATACACACCTTTTATCTTCTCACCAATGAGTGGTTCCTGTAAAGAAATGTACAAATATCAATTATTATTTTCGATCGGAAAATGAATGCGAAGGATATTACTCGTAACGATGGATAGTCATTCAAATTTAATGCTTTCATCAGAGTGAACGGCTCCTTAAACACCTTATTCGTCCATAGTGGCACATCGAGAACTACTCCAACAGTGTATTTGATTTGTCCATATTTTCCTTCAATCGAGGATGGCACGTTAGATGGCAACATAAATTCAAATGTGTAATTGTGCACTCCTGCCTCCAGGTTAATTTTACTCGTTGATTCACGAGAACCCACAAAATACATTTTTTTATCCAAATAGTCTTCATTGACTTCTACTTTTGTTTCGACACTATTCCAACTAGCAAACGCCTTTCCCCTTATGCGAACGTACACACTTCGAACATTGAAGTTCTCCGTCAAATTCAGTCGCACCGTGCCCCGCAACAACTGACCAGCGTAAATGATTTTTCTCGGATTGTTTTCAAACTCGATGTCACAAGTGGCAGACATTTTTGTGTCAATTCCTACTCGGAATTGGTTTTTTTTCTTCGATTTTTGATATTAGTTTTTCAATGAAAAAAATCACACTTGAAAAATGCTATGAATCTGTTCGTCTTTATGACTCATCAAAATAAACACTGAAATAGTCAGGCACTGGTTTAACAATATCGGAATGAGTTGAATCTTTCTTTTCTTTACTTTTCTATTCTAAATTGTATATCTTAGCTATGCTTTAAATCCGTGATTTAAACATAAAATTGTTCTTTCTTCCGAGCAACAGGGAACAACACATCTATCTACAAACAATTCTGACAGGAGACTGCTGTTTTTTCGTATTTACCTTGAAGAAACGTCATCGTTGCATGTGCGTCGCGTTTCGACGAGAAAAAGACGAAGAAGGAATTTGCGAAGCGTCAAAAATGCCGACGGTTGAGTGCGTGCGTCACAGTGTATGCGATTGAACGGAACCACACAACGCTTCCACGAACGCATCGAGCTGCGATACAACGGTAATGGATATGCCAAAAAGAAGCCGACCAATTCATAGATAAACAAAGTCTTCCCAAGAAATAAGTTATTTCAATTTTATTCATTACTAGCTTCGCGACACCTCGAAATAAACATTGCATACAATTCGTTTCAAATGGAAAGATAAAAAATCTGAATAACGTCTATCATTAATTCGAATAATTTTTTCATTTTCCAGTCACTCATCATCATCACCCACCCATTCATTTAACGTTCTAATTTTTCTCTTAATAAACATATATCCTAGGGGAATTTAACTCTTACGAGTTCAGCATGTTTTTTACCAGTTTGCTTGATTCGCGGAAGTTCGACGCGTTCGTTGTACGTACTGACGCGCACGGTCACAAGTTTACACAAGTTTGTTTATGGTTTTGCGCGTTTTTCAAGTTGTTATTTGACAACTAAAACGCGTTTCACGCTAAAAATCGGTTGTTTACGTGTATAAAGATTTTTCACATCCTTTCCAAAAGTTCAAAGATTTATACAATTATAAAATGGACAAAGGAAATATTTTTAAAGAGCTGGAGAAAGTGTTGAAGAAAAAGTTAATCCAGATATAATAAATGGAACGACTGATGTGTGCGCGTCGTCCAGCTACAAGTTTGCACACGAACTCGCGCGCGTTCGCGCATGTTGTTTTAATACGGAACTTGTCAACTGAGTGGAATCATGCAAGTTCTCTGGTGAATGTAACAATTTCGTGCGCGTTTATATCATTTTTTTACAAGTTTTCACGTAGTTAAATCCCCCTAGCATATATCTATTTTATTTTTTTCACTCGAATTCAGAGCCATTTTCTTTTCCACCGCATAATTCTTTCTTGCATTGAAGAAAACAATACATTTTCTCTTAAATCAGTGTTTCAAGCTTAAACAATTCTCTTCCAAGCTACTTTATATAAAGCCAATCTACGTGTGTCTTCTTTCCATTTTAAGTCTCTTTTATCCAAAACAATTTTCACTCATGTATTGTTTGTCCTGACGTGAATTACGAATTTTTTCAATTTATTTATTTTTACATTAAATAAAATCTCTTTTACAATAATACGCATATATTATCTTATTGCCATCAATCCACATTAATGTACGTTGTATCGAAAAACAATTTTAAAAATTTTTTGTTCAAACTTTTGAAAATTACATTCGAAAATCAAAACTGATATGTGAATCTGCTATTTAAGCCGCGAGAATTCTAACGGCATATCCATTAACAAAACCAAGAATTAAAAAATCGTGAAAATAAAAAAAAGTAGGACAGACAGATAGACAGACAGACGGACATTCAGTTTTATATATATATAAAGTACATGAAAACAAATGATAATACCACAAAAATGTTGGTGTTGAGCCAAACGTTCAGAAATGTTAACTGGAACCTTTCGAGTGCAGTATAATTTCGATTGGCTATGTGATTGAATCCATGGAGATTGGTTTCTTCACAACCAATGATAGACACGAATATCTAATTTTATTTGCTTTTTCTCATAGCAAGTCATATTTTATTCCATGAAAATTCAATTCGATAAAAGTAATTTATTAGAATGGCCAAACTGATTAAATCGGTGCATGCTTTATTAGCGGAATAAGCACTTACACACATTGTGTTTGAAACAAACACGCTGCTTTTAGATTAGTGAAATTGTGATATTATGATTTTTCACCACTGATTTCAATTCAATACAATATACATTTTTCATGACTTGGGGATCTTTCGAACATGCATTCAGAAAATATTCTAAAATCTAGGAAAAACCCAAACAAAAATAATTTCGACCAAGCTGAGAAGTGATGCACCGAAAAATAGACCGACAATGCTGCCGATGGTGATGACTAATTCAAGGTTTGTGCAGCGCAGTGAACGAGTCAATTGTTTTGGCTGACTGTTTATTTCAACTGTCACTGTTGATATTCCTTCTGTTTGATCATTCCTGTCAATCCGTTCATAACCGATCTTTCTATCCTTTTCATTAAATCTGCGGGTGAAATGAACAATAATCAAAAATTTCTTAACCGCTAACATTCTGCTCATTCTTCATACCCGACTAGGTTAACTTGCATTTCTGTACAGGAAGAAAAACATGGTTTGACTCTCCGAAGATTGTTAAGCACTAGAAACACTTCATGTATGGTCTTTTGATGTGAGATGCATTTCCACTGAGTGTAATTGCAGTACTGACTTTTGTCTATTGGATGAGAACGAATTGGTCTTTTTGATTAAATTCTGCATTCTACGTCCTTAGTCTAAAGTGAGCTATCATTACATTCGGCTGGTGCAAAGGGTAGTGTGCAATTGCAGAGCTCCAATTCAATTTTAACTCGAGTATAAATTTTACACGAGGCAAAACTGTAAGGAAAGGATGCATTCAAAGGCCAACGCTCATCTGTAAATCGACATTTCCGCTTCTCAATGTACAAGTCCCGTACATCCACATCATTCTCTACTTGTGTTGTCTTAAGAGAAAAGACAGAGAAGTTCACAAAATTTTGGACTTTTTCGAACTCAATTTCATCGGAATTACACGTAATTTTAATTCAAAATCCTTATCAGTATATAAATTATTATTAAACCCATCGACATATTCACTCGGTAATTCGTCTGGACTGTGCAAATAGATCTGAAGTAGAAAAAATTGAAAAACCAATTAAAAAAGAGAAATCAATCGGAATAAAAGCGCTAGCTCACCACAAAATTGTATCCCTTTTTATGAAACAAGTCAAAAGTAAATAAACCGCTTCCACGATATTTATCGTAGGTTAATGGTAACTTGTTCCAATCTGAATTACTAGAAATAGAGGATTTCACTATGCACTCTGAGAGGATTCATAAATCGATCTTCCATATTTACTAGAAATAAGCAGAGTTGACCATGAAGCACACGCCCGCATCGTAGACTATTTCTCGCTTGAACAGATCGCTACAGTCGTGATACTGTCTGCCGTTGAAATGAATATTGTCAAACAATTCATTGCAATACGGAAATAGCTACAAAAGATTGAAAGTGATGATCGAAAAACGAATTGATGGAAGTAGATGATGGGATAGATGCAAACCAGTTGTTTTAAGTCTTCGATATCCACGCCACAAGTGCTATTAGTTGTAATGCATGGATCCAAATCGATGCTATAGCGCGAATGACCTGCATAGGCATAGCCCATCAGTTGATCGTAGAATCCTCGTCTGAAAAGGTCACGGGATAAAATTTCTATTCGGGAAATAACGTTATCAGTAATCAACCTACCGTTGAGGCTCTTCAATATCGTGTTCTGTGTAATATCTTTTAACATATTGTTTTATTCTCTTAGTACTTGGTTTTACATAATCAGATCTCCTAATACAAACAGATACAACTGGAAAAACACTACTCTTTTTTGTGATAATTGGATCGAAGTTTATAACAACCGGTTCATTCAAGTAGTCATTTAATGTGTACACAAATACCAAAATCATTGCAATGACCGACGCAGCTAGAACGCACATCCAATAAATGCTTCAAATAGAAAGGGAATTCATTTGTGCATGTTTTTTTTTGTCAACATTTATTGAAATATTGAAGGTATTTTTACCGATCAATCATTCCATATCGACGATCCAAATATCGGATGCCATGCAAGCTACTGTTGTTCACAAAGTAATAGAGTTGCTGTGTGAATTTGGTGAATATGATCATACATCGAGTGGGACTAGTTGAATCTCTATTTTGATTGCTAATTCTGAATCGTAGCCATTTTGAGGCGCAAAGCTTTCTCTCACAACAAGGCTTGTGGAACAAACGTTCTGTGGCGAAATAGATGAGCTCAGCAATGCTTATGAAACTGCATCCAAGAAATAGCGCCGCAGCTCCTCCGATCGATACTTTTTGTGTTGAGAATGGAGGTTATTGGATGTTGAGTATTATATGAGAATAAGATCTATATATATAAATTAAACTCACCAACCAAGTAATGAATACCAAATTTGATATCTCGCTTGAGCCTTGTTTTTGGAATGCGAAGATTTGCTGTAATCATATTCGATTCTAGTGGTGAATCGATGGTACTGGTCCGTGTAAATATGTAATCAACTGAATTACATTGTGGCAAACAAGTGCAGTTGCTGCGAGTTTCATTCCAACGATTCCTTGATAAGCAAATCCTATGATATTGTAAAAATATTTCATCATCATATTTATTTAGTTAATATTGAGATAGTTTTTTTTACATTCCACTTATGTTGCATATTGGCCCAGGACCTAAAATCAACCATACTAAATGAGTTTTCATATGACTCAATATGGTTAAGACAGAAACAATCACCAATTTTGTAGAAGAATGGCCGACACCCGCATAGATTGATTGCTGTATCGACGCTGCACTCCATCAAACACAGATTTTGTGTATACAGTCCCAATGGGTAGCTTCGATCTGAAGTGAGTTCTGTGTCGAATCTGCACTTGCGACTCTTGATTCCGAACATTTTAGATCTGTCGCTTGTGACCACTTTGTTGATATCTATATAAAAATTAATATCGCCAATAACAGGGTTCCATTCGGTTTGTGGTGACCTCATTATGTTGAATATGTCGTTTATTTCATGCAAATACTTCCGAAGAAACACAAGTAAGTATATATTTCAAATGGATCTGATGGAAAAGTTCTACATACGATTTTTGCTTTTTGAGTGGGAATTTCATCCTTTAAAAATATTACAGGCGCTCCTGGAAATACAAAAGACCTGCAAACAGTTCAATATAGTGTTAAATTATAACTAGCATCGTGACTTTAAATGTATCAAAAATATTTTTGTCACGTCAGTCATTTTTATCATACATTTGATTTGAAATGAATAATGAAAAATGCATAGCTTTCACGATATTGAACTCAATCATAGAGTTTTCACTGATATGATTTTTTAAAAGTATTTTTGTAGCAAAATAGAGCATGAAAAAGATTCTAGCTTCTAGAAAAATTATTGCACCACAGGGCTACACGCAGGCGGAGCCTGTTAGTAGTATTTGTTGTTGTAATTTGTTAGTTCGAACTTCCACCGCTTGCATGTACAATGCAAATCAAAGGCAATCAATAAAGAGACATTAGGATCAATTTTCGGGGCTAAAAATACATTTCTTTTAACTAATTTTTCACGTCGCTTCGTTATAATTTTTGAAAAATTATATTAGTAATGTCATATTACTAGTCTTGTGTTCACTTTCGATATGAGATTTGATCTTAAAGTTTTTTTTTCATTTGATTCCATAATCATAGAAAGCAAAGATATACAATTGTTAATTTACTCATTTTGTATAGCTTTGAAGTACTTGAACAATTTCATGGTCGACCAACATATTCCAGCTTCGGTTACCACGGGACGGGTAAACGTATAATCTCCATCATATCTCTTTTGCTGTTTAAATATTGGAAAGATGTTAGAATTTTGAAGATGAAGTTATCTGAAATGTTCATACGTTCAGTGCGATATCATATATTTCCTCTCCGCTGAGACGTTTGAAGAAGTCAGTGTTTTCAAACTCATCGATCAAATGGATATTCTTTGCGTTCAAAGAACCAATTATTTTCATGTAATGATAATAGTCCTGATAGACTCTTGAGTCATTTTTTATCAAAGTAATATTTTCGGAGCGTCGGTAATACTCGTCAATGAAGCTTTTGTTTGTATAATCTGAACAAATTGTGATCGCTGGTACATTGTGTTTGGATGCCAAATTTTTATAATTGTTTTCCACTGATAAAATGAATGGATCATTTATGAATCGTAATACTTGATCAACACAGATAGAAAACACAAAATAAGTGAACAACAGGACCAACGTCAGCCAGCCGAATCTGCAAGGAAATTAAGAACTTTATTTTCCATGTAGACATTCAGAAATTTTAACTGAAACCTTTCGAGTACAGTATAATTTCGATTGGCAATATGGTTAAATCCATGGAGATTGGTTTCTTCGCAGAATTTTTTGAGAAAAGTATTGTTTTCAAGATATCGGCCAATTTTCTTCAATTTTTCAAACAAAAAACGATTTAAAATGTCACGACACAATTTTAAAATCCTGGAAAGGGCGTGAAAAATATTCTGTAATACAGATTTGATCGGAGAGAATAGATTCGGTGAAAATCCACTAAAGTTCATTTTAACAGAGTTTTGTTCCAGTCAAAAGATAACAATGAACTGACCATGATAGACAACAAACGCTTATTTTATATGAACGGCGATTTTCAATGAAAAAATTCAATTCGATAAAAGCAATTTATTAGAATGGGCAAACAGATTAAATCGGTACATGCTTTAGTAGCTAATTGTGCAGTGTGCAGTTTGCACTCATGTTTGGAACGAGCGCACTCATTCTGACTAATTCTGGCATAATTGTGATATCATATTTTTCACCACTAATTTCAATTCATTTATACACTCCAAAATTGTGGCCTTCAGAGAAAGTATTCTAAAATCAATTAAAATATAGGAAGAACCCAAACATAAATAATTTTGACCAAGCTGAGAAGCGATGCACCAAAAAATAGACCGAAAATGCTGCCGATGGTGATGATTTAGTCAAGTACAAACCTTGGGCAGGTTAAACGAATCAATCGACTTGTCAGACTGTTCATTTTAGATGATACGGTTGTGATTCCTCTGGTTTTTCACATTTATTTGTCAATGAAATAGACTAAAAAACAATGATCGATTCTACTACCTACAAAAGCAACGATCTTCATGACGCCCTAATTTATGTTGAGCGTTCAATTCAAATATTTCGACGATTTGTTGGTTATTCATCCTGAGTACCAGAAAGAACACTCTGACTGATTAGACTGATGGAATGATTTTGAATATGTAGAGTCTACAGCTTGAGTCACGTCGTACTTTCATGTAGAAGAAATTTCAATTGCATATCATGCATAATTTTAGTAATCATTCTTGTATATTGGGATTATTACACCAATTAGTGGAGGTTATTTCAATGAGAAACGCATTTTTCATTCAGCTAGCAAGGTGATGTTAATAAATTTGGTATATTAGGTGATTATGAAGATTCTCTTGTTAATGTCGTCCGTTATTACTAGTCGAATAAAATAGGACAAATAAAAACCGCCAAGTTTATTTGCTTTGAGTTCTTTTTATCATTATCACCAAAATGTCAAAATGTCACATACGTTTGATTATGAGCTTCACTTTCAATGATTTAAGCTATAAAATGGAGTTCACTCTCACAGTCGGTTTAATTAAAGCTGGACCGAAGAACCAATTTATATTTTTTTTTTCTCAATCCACCCAAGATGAAAATATTTTGTTTAATTCTAATTGTTCTATTCGCTGCTGCGACTGCATCGTCAATTCAGCTAACACCAGGTAAAAAACACTAATTTCCTTAAGAAATTGTAAGAAAATTCTATAATTTCAATTCTTCTTTTTTTTCAGGAAATATATGTGATTTGCCAGCGTTGGATAAGGCGTGTGCGGCACCGTTCAAGAACTGGTTCTATAATTCAAAAACAAGGAAATGTGAACAGCATGATGGATGTGGAGGAAATGCTAACCGTTTCGAAACCCAGACGGAATGTGAAAAGGCTTGCAAAAAATAAATCTAAAAATAAAACGAATTGTTCATTTTGAAATTGATTACATTGTACTGATTCAACGCAACTGCTTACGATTTTCTATTGCATGCATACGAAATTAAGTAAACTTTGTGACAAAGTCTTTGTCATCTTTCAATGGGATTATATTGAAATAAACACATTTCGTTGATTATTCTCCTTATCAATCAAATGTCACGATGTCATCTTTGTTTGATTCCATTCATGGTTGTAAATACGGGTGACTTTAACGACGTTCACTGTTCATTTTTAAACTTGAAATAATTGCAGGCACACACATCAGGGTTAAAATGAAGTTGTTCAGTGTTTTCTTGGTCATTTTATTCGCTGTGACGGTTCTATCTACATGTAAGCATCCAACATATACTTTGTTTAGATTTCATCGTTGTTTTCAATCAATTTATTATTTGAATTTCATTCATGTAGCGTGTGATCCGTCAAAAAATTTGTATGATAATATTCCAACGCCGTGTTACGTCTCTAGCTATACCATATCCATACTGCGTGTATTGTATGCATTAGACTGGCCCAAAAAAAAAAGTTGGCCACAAAAAAAAGTAACGTCCAGTTTCGAAAAATATACCTCAAACAAATAGGTTTTGTCCAAAAAAACGATATGGGTACCATATAAAATTCCGTGCCAAGTCCCATATGAAAATTTTCATACCCATATCGTTTTTTTGGACAAAACCTATTTTTTTGAGGTATATTTTTCGAAACTGGACGTTACTTTTTTTTTGTGGCCAACTTTTTTTTTGGGCCAGGCTAATATGCATCCAATATATAATTATACAAAGCATATTTTTTGCATCATTTTTGGTTCAGATTATGCATCAAAGATAGTGAAATGGCTCATTGGAAGGGAAATCTAGATTTAAAGGTTCGGACAAGATACGGTCAATATTTTCAATAACATTCGATGAAAAACAAATACTTTCTGTTCATTTCGGTTGTGATGGTTAACAAAATACATTTAAAGGCGAACTGATAACGTGTATATGAAGAAATAATGAATGTCCGAGAATGAAAACGCAACTTCTATACGATTTTGTTGTTTCATTTCAATAAATTTTTTATTTTTGTTTCACTTATATGTGTTGTGAATAGAAGTTGCGTTTTCATTCTCGGACATTCAAATACTTGCGTCAACGGTGATTTAAATAAGGTTGTTTTGTTTTCTTCATGTAATCGCATTATTTGGTGTAGTTCAAATTCAATTGTCACTTATGGCAGAACACTTTGAGTGTTAGAATCTAACACTGGTAGATTTTCGTTTTCTCGATATTTGTACTGTTATTATTTTATTTGCAATTGATTTTTGTCAAAGCCTCGGAAATATGGATGTTTTTGGAACTCAATCAAATGAGAATATTTTCGCTCGTAAAAAATATCGTGTTTACATGAAATGTGGCTACAAATATGGTAATGGAATATATTTTTGTAATTTTACGTTGAGAAGATCAATGCGATAATTTTTCGTTTGGTGTAATTAGTTCAATGACATATAATGCATTAGCTTTCTGATGGCATATTTATGTTCTGTTATCTTCCAAACATCGCTATTCAAGGTAAGTACTAATGAATGGTCGTAGAACGCATACCAAATCATGTGCTAGACATACTTCTTCAAGTGTATTTGTTACAAATGAATCTAGTGAACGTCCATTATCTCATCCAATTAGGTGAAAGGAATTGATAAATAAATGTTCCTTGAATTTTGTCTGAATCTAATCACTTCCGAAAATATTTCGTAAAATTCATTAATGAAGTTTTTTTACAGTACAATACTTAGACGATAGTTCCTTCTAATATGACTATGAATTTGGTTTCAGTTGCAATCCATTGGTCATTTGATAAACAACTAGCCTAAAATGAAAGTTGTGTATTTTATTAGTATTCTCGTGTTGGTAAAACTTATTGCTTCTGCTTCAACAGGTAAAGTGGAATATTTCTAAGCAGTTCGATTGAATGAAAAGAACCATTAAAAGTTATCATCAAAAAGTATTGAAAAAATTACTTTCACTCATATAGATAGCGGCATCGATGTGTGTACAATGCCTCTGAGGAATGGAGATGAGCGTATAATGTGTGCTGGACATTTTGAACGGTGGTACCATAGATCGTCAACGGACACTTGTGAACGATTCATATATGGCGGATGTCTGGGCAACGCAAATAATTTCTTGACAAAAAGAGAATGTGAATCTCGTTGTGTTACGAAGTCGTTTGCCGATTGAAGTCTTCAATTTGAGATGCTGTTATTCTTAATATTTCTATGCTTATTTGCTAGATTTGTTTGATTCTAGCTTTGATTTTTATCGATTTCTTTTGAAAATAATATCCGAAATACTCGAAAAAATAAACGAATATGTATTTCCGTTCAGTGCTTGAGATATGTATTAAGAAACTAATATTTAAAGCGAATCTAGTGAAACGTAAATAAAAGAACAAAATGGAAAAATTTGAAAATACATTGGTATTGGCCAGACGTGTGCAGGGTCAAAAAT